GAAATTAATAGCACAATTATCCAGCCATCTTGTGTATATATATATATATATTTTTCCCTTTCTTATTTTTTTTTCTCCTTTCTCTCATCCTAGTCATTCTTTCCTTTTGAGTAGTTTCTTTCCCTTTCTCACTATCTATTGTACCTTTTACATTTCAGTTATTCTTTCAGGCTCTAATACTAGGGAGACAATATGATGTTTACACATGTGGGTCTGATTTATTTCACTTATGAGCATGCTCTCTAGTGGTAGTCATTTACCTATAAAAGCCTCAAGTTTATCTTTCTTTATAGCTGAGTAATGCTCCATTATATGAAAATACTACAGCTTTTTTATCCTTTCCTCAGTTGATGGGCATTTGGGTTGCTTTCATGATTTAGCTATTACAAATTGTTCTGCTATAAACATGCGTCTTTTAGAGGTTCATCCATTTTTAGCAATTATACAGAGGTTAAACTCCTTCACCCAGTTAAACAGACTGACCGCTTTCCCTGAAGCCTAATTTAGAATCTGAGCTTGTGCAGTTATTTTAATTTTGCATGTTACATGACCAAATTTATTCAGTGGTTTGTATTTTCCCTCAGAACGGTGTTTTTTAAATGAGAAGAGGATCCTTAAACATTTTATTCAAGACTTAATCAAGTCCAAAACAATGTGTCTATGTTTTAGGATTTTCAGTTCATAAGACTTGCAAGCATTTGGAAAAATGGTAATGAGGCCCATGGTAACACATTATCATTCAAACAACCGACTGTCTATCAAATCACCATTTTTAGGAAATAGCTGTCTGATCCTGAAGCATGGTGCATTCCGAGACAGAGCTCCCTGCAGTCTCCTGATGCCAGGTACCTCGAATCTCCTTGCTGATGGAAGAAAGAGCAGAAGCACTGGAGTGTGACAAAGGTGTTCTACCACCTGGCCGTTTCACGAATATAAAGACCATCTACTGAGCCAGTGTATGAAAATTGTGCACCACATTAATTTTACAATCTGTCTTCAACTCTGTCTAGCAAATAAGGCTACATTTTAAAAACTTACATTTACTTAAAATGGAACATTAAAAAATATATTTTAATAAAGCAGCTTTAACTACAATGTACATATTGAAAACTATCTACTAAAAACAATATTTTAAGTAAATTTTCAGAAAGAAAAGCATCTTTTTCTTGGAAATCAGGCCAATAAAGAAGATTTCTAGCACCCTATGAAATGACCCCAGATCCATGACAAATGTTCTATATTTTGGTTGTCTGAATATATTTGGTGGCACTTATACAGTTATTTTTCTTTCAATTTCATGCTTATTTTCTTTTATTCAATGTAGTTTTACAAAATTCTGTCCTGTGTATAAAAGTAGTTCATTTGTTCCTTTTCTCATGTAATATTCCAATGTGTAAATATATGATAATTTATCTAAAATCAGAAGTAAGCAAAGAGCCCATAAATTTTTTAGAACTCAGAAATAACATTCTATTAATACATTGCCTGTGATTTTTCTTATGATATAAGAGCAAACCCTCATACTTGCAAGTCTTAGGAACTGAAAATCCTAAAAGATATTTCACAGCTCTTTCAATATTTCTCGGCAGTGCTGATCCACTAGGTTGGTCATATTTCAGTTCTTTAGAACATGAGAGTAAAATAATGCAGCAGTGAATATTTTACACGTCTTTGGTAGGACATATTCCCTCATTAATCTGGGTGTAAATCTAGAGGTTGGATTTTGAGGTCGCTGGGCATTCCTATATCGAGCTACAGTAGGTATTTCCACACAGGTGTACAAGGTGAAGTTCACTTCTATCTTCCATCTTCACTGTGTGAGAAGCGCTGTTGCTTCACACCGCTGACACGGCTCGATCTGTCCTTTCTTGTCACATTCACCATTTCCTGGCCGGTCCCAACACTGTACTGAAGCTTTAGTTTTTAGTTACTTGAGTACTAATAATGTTGACTATCACAACTACGAAATCTCAAATTCCTTTATCAAGGCTCTTTCCATCACTCTTTACATATTGAAAGCCTTTTGTAAAAAGGGCCGTGTGCACAGGTGTCTGGCTTTGTGCAATTCATGTTGTCCCATCTGGCATCAGTGTCAAGACTGTTTCTGGCCAAAACAGCCCAGAGGTGCAGTGTGTTTCTTTTGTATGCTGAGGAAGCAGCTCATCTTTTTTTTTTTCCAGATGATTTTAAGAGCGGAGAGTGGTTTACACAGTAGCGGAATACATAATTCACAGAGACAGAAAAGTCAGCTAGAAAAGATCTCAGAAATTAAAAATAAAAAGGACCTCAGAGCCGGGCGTGGTGGCACACGCCTGTAATCCCAGCACTCGGGAGGCTGAGGCAGAAGGATCGTTGCAAATTCGAGACCAGCCTAGGCTACAAAGTGAGCTCAAGACCAGCCTGAACTGCATAGTGAGACCCTGTCTCAGAAAAATAAAAACAAAAACAAAAACAAAAACAAAAAAGGACCTCAGAAATAATGTAAATTAATTGCCTCTTCTCCAGAAGGTGCTAGAAATAATCATTTTTAATGTACCACAGTGATTTAGAGCAACGCTGCGTGCTTCTTTCGTAATATGTTTCCAGAGAGAGGCTTGTGCGGGAGAGGAACAGCTGCTGCGTCTGACAGCAAAGCAGAGCCTGCTCCTCTCCACGTGATTGAAGGGCGTCGCGGTTCTGCTCTAGTCAGTGCGCGTGCGCAGCCTACCATCTCCTTGCTTTTGTCGGTTATCTGTGTTACACCTGTGCCCAAATGTACCCTGGCTGCGTCATACACCTGTGCTGGGATTTCAGTTTTAAGGACAATAGACGGAGCCAAAATAAGAACGTGGCCTATAACGTTAATGCACCATACAGAGTCACTGGTAATATTTTATTTGGACAGTAATATTTGTCGTAAGCTACAGGTAAACTTGTGAGAACCAGTGATTCAGACACGGAGAGGATATCTACACAGGCAAGCATGTTTTTGTCTTGAGAATCTCCTTATATATTCCCAGTAATTTGTTCTTATCCAACCTCAAAAATTCAGGGAAAAAGTTGGCTACAATTTAAACAATCAGTTGATTCTGTTTTTAGACTTCTTGTTAAACACTTATAATTTTATTTGCTTTAGTTCACAGCAACAAAATCTAATAACACAACAAACAGGTAAATCAGTATTTAGAAGCTTACTATGGGCTATACTGGAGTGAGATGAGCTAGTTAGATGACGTGATTTTTATTTTGTATTAGCTCATGTTTACAATACATACTGTTGACTTTCCTTTTGTGGAGTTAGTACAGGTACATATTACAGCTTAAATCCTTTCATATCCCTCCCCACAACCTCTGTATAAGTAGAAATCCATGATTAACACCACTGTATTTGTACTTATAATAGTTTCCACAAATTCTATCGTATTGCTGCTTCTAAGTAATGCTCCCAAAGGAGTATGAATTACCTTGTGAAGTTGGCAGACTCTTTAAAGAATTTTATTTAAAATGGCAAGTATCTTTCATAGTTTTCCTCACTGTAACAGTAGCTAACATGTTACATTATTACGTAACTGCCACATCAAGGACAGAGGACCTTCTTGATTTTCATTTATTTTTTAAAGGACTTTTACACAAGCCCATTTGATACTGAGAGCTAGAGAGCATAAGGTATTCATAGTCTTTCAGCCTCCGCAGTTCGGATGGATAACTGAGAGTTGCTTTGACCTTGCACAGTTGTTGCTTCAAATAAATGCCCATGCACATGTTTTCTCAACAAATGACACAGTAATTTAGTGATCAAAAGGTTACATCAAACAAGATGAAGTAGACAAGTATTGCAAACAGCCATTAACTTTCTTTCCCCCCTGAAATTACTATGTATATTATTATAGATACATTGTCTTAGTTTCCCAAATCATTTTATATAACTTATAAATATTACATATATATATATTTCAAACTACATACCATAGTAAGTTGCTTTCCTTTCACTAATACCTAGTAACACTCAAATATCTAGTTTTTAAAATTATTCATTTAATTGTTTCCATGTTTCCTATCACTTGCACAATGCAGATGCATTAGACAACACGGACGGAACACTCAGTCCTTGGAGAAAACAATACTCAGAATCTCCTATTGGAAACAATCATCTCAGACACAAACGGGGTTATGTTAAGACAGGGCCTTAAGGAGTCAGTTGTCTGTGCCCTACACTTCGGGGGCCTTTACCAAGTGCAGAGTCCAGTAATGAAGCAAAAGTTTCCTGAAGATAATTATGAAGATCCTGCAGCTAGCAACAAGGGCCCTTGGGCGTCTTGAGCAAGGCTCTTTCCATCACCGGTTAGCCATGTTGAAGATATCCGCTTCTTAAAAGCGAAGGGTTTCTCCACCCAAAGGCATTTGTAACTATCGGATCCTTTGCTAGAATCCTTTCATTTCTTCAACTGGCATTTATTTATTTCTGAGACTGAATATATACCTACAGGGATATCTCTCTTCTGCACAGTGAAATTTGATATTTGCTTGTGATTTATTTACTTCAGCCTTTTTACTTGATGAAGGATTTCAAGATTGTTATGAACAGTTTGATTGCTCAGTTAACTGATATCTACTCCTCTTACTAGATTAGAGGATTCACTAGTTTGGAAACCACTGGGTTTATCATGAAAATGAAATACAGGCATAAAAGCATTTAGTGAAAACTTGATAAAATTTAATATAAAAGAACTAATACTCAGATGACACAATGAGCAACTAAAAATTCTGGGAAAATTAGAAATACCAGGAAAGTTTTCCAAAGAGAACTAGTCCCACACATAAATTTCAGACAGAAAATGGGAATGTGAGATTAGAGAAATATGACATATTCATGCATGAATATTAGTACAAATTAGTGTAAATATTCATTTTAACAAATTAAGATAGTTGAAAGAATTTATTTTTAGTCTTTAGTGCAGGACATTAGGAGATCAAAAAATCACTATATAGGTGTGGAAAAAGTTTGGGTCTACTATAAATATTTAAAACCACTTTTTAGTTTTCAGTTTTTCAATGGCCACTTTCACATCCTTATTCCTTAAGCTGTAAATCAAAGGGTTCAACATGGGAATCACCAGGGTGTAAAACAACGAAGTCTTTTTGTCCTGCTCTAAAGAGTAGGAAGAACTTGGCCGAAAGTACATGAAGAGCACGGTTCCCTGGAAGATGGCAACGGCAGTGAGGTGGGAGGTGCAGGTGGAGAAAGCTTTGAACCTCCCCTCTGCAGAGCGGATCTTTAAAATGGATAACATGATATAGCAATAAGAGACAAGAACTCCTGAAATGGTGCTCAGTTCAATGAAGCCAAAAATGATAAATATAGCTAACTCATTGATCTGTGTATCTGAGCAAGATAGTAATAAGATAGGTGGGATATCACAGAAGAAATGATCAATCTGATTAGAGCCACAGAAACATAAGCGGAATGTCAGTGTGGTGTGAATCAAAGCATCTCCCACTCCCACCAGGTAAACCCCAGCCACCAGCAGGGAGCACAGCCTGCCGGACATGTGCGCCGTGTAGAGCAAGGGCTTGCTGATGGCCTGGTACCTGTCAAAGGCCATCACTGCCAGCAGTATGCACTCGGCATCTACGAAAGTACAGCAAATGAAGAACTGCAAAGCACAACCAAGGAAAGAAATTGATTTGTCCTTGCCAAAAATGTCAAGCAGCATCTTGGGTCCAACTGCTGTAGAATAGCAGAGGTCACAGAAAGAGAGGTTGCTGAGGAAAAAGTACATGGGTATGTGAAGCTGGGAGTTCATTCTGATTAAAATGACCATGCCAAGATTCCCCAGAAGATTAATGAGATAAATAAGTAGAAACATGGTAAATAGTATTACTTTCATCCCAGGGTTATTAGTGATTCCCACTAAAATGAATTCAGTCAGTGAGGAACAATTTCCTTGGTCCATTGCTGTCATTCTTGTCTAAGCTTTGGAAAAAAAAAATGAAAAATTGAAGAGTCAGATGTTGCATTTCTGGATATCAGTAAAGTATATAAGGCAGACCTGTGATTTTTTCTTCATTGTCATATGTATCCAGGTCATGTTTTATTTTAGAAACCATTTTTTAAAATGCCTGATCATGCTATGTCTTAAAAATTGCTTTTATGTATTTGAGAAAAAAGATAAAATTTTAGTATCTCAGATAATTGAGAGGATTTGATCTGAATCTACACAGTCTTCATGATTGATACATGTGTCTTTCAACAAATTTCTGATTTTTATGGGTCTTCTTTCCGTATTCCATGGACTATATATGGATGAATTGAAATCATACTTGATCTTTAAAATAATACTAAATAGAATAAATACTAGACACAAAGGTTTAAAATGCTTGACTAAGCCTTTCTTAGGTTTTACATCATCTACTTGTACATAGAATTTGTTTTATTATGTTTCTAAATGTGACGATTTGTTCAAAAGTGGTTCTAGAAATTTTGAATTTATCATTGGCTAATGTTAAATCACTGCGACACTTTCATTGGTTTATGCTTTACTTAGTATTTTATGAGAGAAGTAATTTTCATTTGCCATTTCTTTATACATCTGTTAAGATATTGTTACAATACTTGTTACCTGTTTATAGCAATGCTCTGTTACAAAGTAATCAGTCTTATGTCCAAAAGCAGAAGCAACACATTTACATACATATTTGAAATTCACTGAGTTAAGAGTTCTTGTACATTAAAAATTTGGAATGGAATGAAAGACAAATCAATATTTCTGAGATGTTTAGATTTCTCTACCTTTTAACCATGTGTAGTTTTATGTTTCTCTGTTGACATATGAGAACTGAAATGTGGATGATATATTTTTGCATTTTAATAACAAGTAAAATATGGTCTGTGTTTCGTATGGAATTAGGTTTATGCATGCTTTTTAATGTACCAAGTCAATTACTTATGAAATAAAAGAAAAAGTATCTGAAATTCATATTTGTGCTTGCACAACCATTAAATAAGGACTTTCCTATGTTAGCAGACTGAAATAAAAACTTGAAATATTATTCTGTGGGTACCATTACATGCAGTCAGATTCTTTCAATTCTGATGAAATATATAGAGATATATAATTCTCTCTCCTTCTCTCTCCATACTATATATAGATGGATACAGAATATAGATACAGATACGGACACAGAGACAAAAACAAACAGAGACATAAACATAGATATATCTCCATATTAGGCGTTATATATGAGAAAATATTAAAATACATAAGAAAGCATAAAATGAATCATTTTTTAAAAATTTCTCACGTTATTTCTTTTTCCAAAATGATGTTTTTCCTAACTCCTTTTCACTCTATGTTCCTAAGTCTGTACACTCATGAACATTCCTGAGACAAGGAGGTCTTTGGCAGCTGAACTGCAGTCAGACAGCATTTTATTTCACCAGGCAGCATTTGGGACCTTGGGCTCAAGTTTTTTCCCTGAGGCTTTGCTGTGATTAATTTTACATCTGGTTCTGTATTTTGCCCTGCAAATATACTAACAGCTTTAGTTATGGTGAGCTTTAAACATTCACAACTGTAACAAAATTCTTTTAGGAAGAAAACAGCAAATGATTCTTTAAATTCTAAACTGCAGTTGAAATTTCTCCAATCACAGCAGAACTTTATTGAATCCCAAATAACCCCTGTTTAATCACTGTTAATTCCTCCCTGCTAGCCCTTCTTCCTCTCATTTTTTGAACACTCTCCTTTACCATCTCAGGAATATTATTGCCTCTTGAGATAATTATTTTATTTAACTAACGGTGTAATGATTACATTAAAATATTCACCCTCGTAATGAAAACACTTCTTTGCTTGCCAGTATTTTTGTAATTTTGTGCAGCCACCGCCACTATCACATCGAGGACATTTGTCATCACCCCAATAAGAAGTCCAGACCTATTAGCAGTGATGTCCATTTCTTCTCACCCTGCAACCCCTGGCAGCCACAGATCTCTTGCCAGGGCACTGTATTTGTCCACTCTGAACAGCCAGCACTGATAGAATTACAGAGTATTTAGCTCTTTTCTGATTATTTTCAAGGTTCACCAATGTTGTTCCATGCGTCAGGATACCCTTCCATGGAATTTTACTTTTTTGTGAATATAATATATTTTGATTATGCTTTCACTGGTTGGAGGACATTTGGCTTATTTCTGTTTTCTGGCTAATATGAGTTATGGTATTGTACTGCCATCTCTTTGTTTGCTGTGGTTTGAAGCTATCCACTAATGCAAAGGCTCACCGACTGTTACAGCTAGATCACTGAAGAGACAGCCTCTTACGTGAAAACTATGGCCTTGTTGTACTACCAGTTTCCTTACAGAAAGAACTGGTAAGTCTTCATTTACCTATGAGATCAGCCAAAGCAAAGCTCATGAGGTGCCATGCTCTGTCTCTTCCATAAGACTCGTGATTGTTTGGACATTTGAGTTGCAGTTGAGTTCCACTCACCATGAGTCATGACCTCCTTCCAGACACAAACTGTGAGTTGCATATCCCTACCCTTTTCCTGCATGCTTCAAGGGGTATGGCCCAAAGCGTATAAATGCATGTCAGAAGTTTCCTTTTCTATCATATTGCTTTTCTCATCCCCCAGAAATAGCTCACAGTAGCATTTTAATTATGTCTTACCATAGTTCTTTCTGATGGAACGTTTTGGAAAATCTTTGAACTTCCTGCACTTCACTTGAATTTTTTTTTATTATCTTTCTCCAAATATAGCATGTTTTTTGTTGTTGTTGCTGTTGTTTATTTGTTTGTTTTTTCTTCCGGTACCAGGAATCGAACTCATGACCTTGCACTTGCCAAGCAGGCACCTTGCTGCTGAGCTAAATCCCCAGCCACCACCCCACCTCCTTTTTTTTTTTTGGCTATTATTTCTTTTAAAAGCTTCCTGGCTGTCCTTTTCATTTTTCTTATCTCTCTTTTAACTCCTTTGTTTGTTTGTTTTTCTTTTTTTGTATCAGGAGTTGAACTCAGGACCTTGCGCTTGTCAGGCAGGTGCTCGTGCCACTGAGCTATATTTCCAGCCCATCTTTCTTCAACTCCTGTGACATAAATTCTTACTTTCTTGATGTCATGCAAATTCTATAAGTTTGCCACACTCTTTTTCAGTAACCTTTTCCTTTCTTCAACTTTGTGCCAGATCCAGCACAGTTCTTGAAACTCTGGAGGGGAGATGGTGGAGGATGAAGAACAACAAGAGCGAAGATGCAGAAAGCTGAGGTCAGGTGGAGCCTCCTCTGCTGGTGGGAGAGAAGGAGCTGCCCAAGACCACAGTGCATTTATTTATACACTTAGGAAGTCATTGCCACTTGAAACCCCTCTGCTGAGCAACTGGCTTGCCTGGTTTACCCGGAGTTGGAACTGGAACAGCTTGTTCAAATGGCTCACCTTGGTGCTCAGTTCTCTCTGGGCTGGCCTTGCTTTAGTGCTCCATGTGTGGTCGATCTCCAGTTTTAGCCACTTCCCACATTGAGTCTATATTCTCAAGTAACCTGTCTCAGAGTTGGTAGATTTTTTTCATATCCTTTATTAATTCTTGTGTTGATGGTCAGTCTCATCTTTTTATTTCATTCTTTGCTCCAACACTTTGGTTGATTATTTCTCTTCTCAAATTTCCCATTGAAATTCTAGTTTTTTATGATTTCACTGCACCATCTCTTTGAGTTTCCTTGATAAAATCTCTGAAATTCCTCAGATAAATTATTTTGAGTTATTAGTTGGGAAGCATATAGGTATCTTTTTCTTTAAGAGCAGTCACTAGGAGGTTTTTTCAATAGAGATCTATTCCTTTGTTGTTTTCCCTTCATTTTAAATTCTTGTTTTTGGCTGATTTATGTAGACATCTGCTTGTTTGATGGAATGGTTCTTTCTTCCCCACTTTACAGGGTGGTTTTAGGGGAGAAATACTTTCTGCTATGGGAGAGTGTGAGCATCTGTGAGGGAGGGACAGGGTCTTTCTGCCTCCAGTGAGATTAGTGTCATTGCCTTTGTGCAATTCTGTCATCTAAAGTCAGTGGTGGAATGCATTTCATGGCGCACTGGGGGCAAATAATCTGTGGATGCCCAAGCAGTAGTGAAGGGTTATGACATACACAGGGGTTAATTTTCAAGGTTCCTCATAATCTCTTTTTCTCTCACTTGCGTAGTCATTGGCAAAAGGATCTTTAGTGGTACTAAGTCCAGCTCATATGCACAGGCATTGAGAAAGACACTAATATGTTGTGTATGGCTTCTGTGGAGTGGACATAGGGCTGAAGTTGGAATTATGCACACTGTGCAGGGATAGCAGCTGAGGTTGTGGGGCAACAATGCCTAGGTATAATTTCCCCACCTACTTCAATGCTAATGGTATACAGCACATGAGGGCTCATCAAAGAGTGAAGGAGCTTGGGCCCAGTGTCTATAGGTGTGTGTGTGCATGCACGTGCACACGTGTATGTGTGTGTGAATGCTACTGCAGTTACAGGGTCCAGGTGTGAACTAGGTGGCTATGGCAACAGAGCTTGTGTATTAGTTCATTCTGGCTGTTATAATAGCTAGATAACAGCGTTTAATGGATGCGAACCTTGCTAGATTTCTTACTTAAATAACTATCTTTATCTTTTCTTTGTATCTTTAAATCACTTCCTTCTCACATGTCCACCAATGACTGACAACAAATATTAATGTTCAAATAGTATAAAATTAATAATAGTGTGTAATGAATTAATTTCATCTTAAGACCCTATATCTTGGCCCTTTTATGTATGTTATTGAAATTCCAGGAGACAAGTATTATATAGTGGTAGTATATTTAATTAGATGTATAAAGTGTATCTTATATAGAAGTCAGGTTCCTCTCTGTGAGAGAGGCAATTAGCCCAGATTGTTTTTAAGGTCATCCACAGAGGGCATTTCTGCCTCTGAGT